ACATTTAATGAGCCACTATTATGTGCCCTAATGCCACTGATCCAACATTATTTCTGAACTCCTGCACTAAGGTGTTAGCAAACAGAAGGGGCCAGAGGATGCCTAAGACATTCCCATTATATCCAAATACCTATTCTACCTCCAGGTTTACCTTGGGGCTTTCCCTACAAATCCAGGGAAACCTAATTTGACCCACAGATGTGCAAATATCTGCCTGCATGCCAATAATCCAGTCACTATTTTTGGAAGTCAACAGAAATGGGGCAACTGTTTATTCCCAGTATTTATTTTTTTAAAGCTCTTTGTGGACTGCTTCACTTGTATCTGGGGCAAAATAAGGAAGCTAAATCACTGATACAGGTGGGACAAAAAACGATTTCACGTATTTATCTTGGAAGGCTTCCTGCATCCAACACATCAAACTGATGAAGCATAGATTGATGTGTGGCAAGGACCAAATAAATTTGAATCTTGAATACAAACTACCATACTCAGATGTGCTGAGGAAAACAGTCTCAAAAGCAAAGTTATCTCTGTTTTCCAGTACTACAAAAAGCTTTTCTATTACAAGAGTATCTTCGGAAGCACTTAGTATGAAAATGTTAGTTGATATGCAATGTGATTTTATGAGGATTTCTTATTTTAGCCAAAAGTTTTTGCTTGTTATTTTTTAATAGTTGTTTGTTTTGTTTTAGCAGATTATTTGAGGAAGACATCTTGTATTAGTTATACTGGATCTCCCCTAGCCACACACTATTGCTCTCTCTCCCTGGCCAATACATACTGAAGAACTAAACAGAGGCAAAGTAAACTAACTGATGAATCAATTTTTCCTCTGCACTACGTGGCTGTGTGAGTAGTTTTGTTTTCTTATCATAACTGAATGGGTATTTAATTTTGGATGACAAATAATATTTAAAATATTAAAGTAAATTGTGAGCATCTAATGGCACAGACAAACCTATGCCTATAATCACTCATCACCCCTAATGGTAAAGGGTAAGGCAAAAAGTTGTTTAGGAATTTTTTTTAAAATCGATCCAGGCTAAAACCCTCAGTATCCTCTTTGATCAGTTGCCAAGTCCCACCAATTTTTACATCCTCATTATTTTTCTCCTTATTTATTCCTACTTGGGTGCAGACAAATTCCTTCTCACCTGACCCATTTGAACAGACCCCTAATAAGTCTGTTTGCTCCCCATCTACCTATCATGTTCAAACTTGCCCTACATACTGAATGCTTCAGATTAAGCTTCCAATGTATAACTCTGAGAATATAACTTCTCTCATTCAAAATTTCCAAAGACTGCACTGTTCCCAAATAAAGTCTAATTCCATAGCCTAAAACTTAAAGACCTCCATTTTTTTTTACCACCTTATCTTATATGATTCTTTTGCTAAACTGAATTACTAGCAGTTCCCTAACCACCTTCTATTCTGTGGTGATGAAATTCATGTCCATCTTGGCCTCCTAAAATTCAACTGACTATTGAGGTCCAATTCAAGGTCTGCTGCTGTGAAACCTGCCTTCATCTTGCCTTCATCTTCTCAGTAAAGACTGACTGTCATAATTTCCCAGTACTGCCTGTCATTACTTAAATTTAACCTTGTACTGTAATAATCTGTTTCCTTGATTAGACTGTGAGCTCCTTGAGGGAAAGGTTTCTCGGCGTCTTATATAAGGTGTATTACTCAGTATACATTGGATACATAAATAATGTTCCACACTACTTGCTTTTGCATCAGTCATTACTTAAAAAAATTTACAACTGATGCTTAACCACTAACTTTTCTTGGAGGATTATGCATAACACAGAATTAGAAGTCGAGAATTTGTTATCACTATTGATACAGCATGTTTGGTAATATGAATGCTTAAAGGGGCCAAGCAGGTACCAGATAAATGAAGTGGATCATTTATTTGTGTGGAAGAAACAGCAAGTGGAAGGGACTGTCATGAATTAGAAAATACACACTCTGTTCTAAGGGGTTAGCAGCCAGGCCACTCAACTTGGGTCCCAGAATCAATAGAAACCAGAAATCTGGGCCCTCATGTGAAACCTCTTGAAGTTTAAATATTGGCAGCAAATTAAAAATTTAAAAAACACTGGGCAAGCCAAAGCAAATACATCTGCTAAGGCTGGATTTGGTCTGTAGGCTACCATCAATTTGCGATCTCTGGGTTAGGGCTTCTTCCTAGGGTGATTATTCCAACCAAAACATAAATCCACAGCTGTGGCC